AAACAGCTGCAGGCGTTGCGTTTCCTGGGCGTGTCCATCGGTGTGGCTCAGATCCTCGCCATGGCGCTCACACTCACGCTGCTCTGGGCGCTTTATTACGGACGCAAGGCCCCAGAGCCCGACACCATGACAGCCCCGCCTCCTCAGGATGACCCCGCCCCCCTCACAGTGACACACGGAGCCTCGGGTGAAGCTTCAGCGTGTAACCGCACAAATAAAGTGTGTAACAACACAAACTGCACACACAGCAGCGGGTCGGAGCTGCATTTTGAGATGGAGAGACTGTCATGACACAGAGGAGCGGCCGACCAATGACATCAGACGAACAGCAAAGGTGATTTAAAGATCAAAAACTGAAACTTTAAGATCTTTTAGTCACTTTGTTCATCTTTCCGTCCGCCTGTCAAATCAGTGTTGTGGCGTCATTTTGGTGTCAGAGTTGAGTACAAAGACGAGGAGGAGAAAACTGTGAGCAAAAAAATCTGCAATCATTGTTTCACTGTGAGCGGAGAGACGAGTCAGGACATCGCTGCAGATTTAAAGAAAACTCGACAGGAGGAACAGAGAGGAAACATCCTGATCTGAGCCTGAGGAGGTCCTGCAGAGGAAAGGTTCTCTGTGGACTGAAGCTCTAAGACGAGGAACTCTCCCTCCTCTCCTTTTTAACCACTTTACAAAATGAACTATTTATCAACCAGTTCAGAGTCTCTGAAGATCATGTTGTTGTTGTTGTTGTTGTTGTTGTTGTTGTGTCACTGGGGATACACTGTTGTGTTTGTCAGAGTGTTGATTAGATTAGAGGGAATGTGCATGAGTTTGATATTTAATATTTGTTTCAGTCGTTGTAGCGTTTGATCACTTCTCACTGGAATAAAACACAAAATATATTTCACTGTCTGCAGAGCAAATTGTGAAAGTGTGATTCAGTTATTACAGCGTCTGCAGGTCAACTGACACACACACACACACACACACACACACACACACACACACACACACACACACACACGGGCAGGTCCCCTGTTGGTGAGTGTGTAGCGACGCTAAAGTCCCCTGTTTGTTAGGTACACGAGTGCGCACAAACACACACACACACACACACACACACACACACACACACACACACACACACACACACACACACACACACACACACACACACACACACACACACACAGGTGTTGGCTGCCAGTTGCTTGGGGCCCCTGGCCACAAGGGGACAGACTGTAATCCACAGCAGTGTCTCAAAACGTGCAAAGTTTGCAATGACAGTAGGATACCTTCCTAAGGGGGCCCCGTCTGACAGCACTCCCTCTCACTACACAGCTAGGCGTAATACCGTTTGTCAATGAAAGTCATGATGAGGACTTCTCGGTGTGGGAGGGAAAAAAAAAGCAAGACAGTGATGGCAGATATGGAGGGCCCCCAGTACATTTTAGCTGATAGGGCCCCGACATCGCAGCTACACACACACACACACACACACACACACACACACACACGCACACACACACGCACACACACACGTTTGTCTTATTTTCTCGATATTTTGCCTTTTTTCCTCATCTATTACAGTTTATGGAAACTTTTGAGCTCCTTTGAGACTTTAAGCTATTAAAAAATATATATTTGTGTCTCTTTCATTTCAGTATAAAACCGAACGTGTGAGTGATGACAGGTCGTCAGTAAACTTTAAACTGTTTTTTAACGTCTGATCTCAACATTAATCCGTGATTTTCATATTCAGCTGTTACAGAACGATCAGACTGTCGGACTCACTCTGAGCTCGTTTGCTGTGAGTGTTTCATCGAGAGCCGAGAGCTCCATACAGAAATACACACACACACACACACACACACACACACACACACACACACACACACACACACACACACACACACACACACACACACACACACACACACACACACAGCTGTTCAGGGTGTAAAGCTCTTAACGTCCAGCAGGATGAAATTTAACCTCCACCAGCGTACAGAGTATTAATAGATCATTTTTTACTGTCAGAGAGTGACACAGAAACAGAAGAAGAAGAAACATGATTACAGATAAAGAATTTAAAAAATATAAAAAAGGAATGTACATTTTTTAAAATTAGAAAAAACAAAACCAGCATAAAAAGATGTCATGTATGAAAATTAAAATTAAGTAACATTTGGTAACATAATGAAATGAAACTCTGTATGTATTTGAACGTCGTAAAAAAAATATAAAGGTATAATGTAATGATAAAAGTCCATTATAAAAATAAGACCCGATCAGATCAGATTTAATGAGACAATGTTTTATTTACTCAGACACTGCACCGGACTAAAGCCATGGAAGCTTCTCTTTTTCTTATTATCCTCAATAATTTCATATTTTATCAATTTAAAAAGTCATAATTATAATCCTCAGACCAGTAAAATAACAACCTCTCTTCAACATGTCAGCTGGTCCAAACTCATGCATGTTTTATCTTTAAAAAATATCATGTGGATGTCAACATAAAACACTACGTCGTCTAATCAAAATGATCCATAAGCAACAGTTACAGCACATGTTCACAAGCAACACTTAGAATAATAATACTCTTTCATTTACAACCAAAGAATATGATCTGCAAAAATATGTTTTATCATTTTCCTGTTTTCCATAAACTCGGAGTTTAATGAATCTTTATCAAATAAACAGATATTAAACCCACAGAGTTGCATAATAATGTCACATTAAAGTCTGCAGTGATGGATGATTCAGGGGCTGTAAGCAGGGTGGGACATTTGCATTTTTGCTCCAGTCATCTTTAAAAAAAAGTCTTTAATCCAGTTTATCTTCAGTGTGTAATGTTTTAGACTATTTCTGGATCAGTGCTGAACTTTTTATCAGTCTTCACAAATGTTTGACGCTTCAGCATTAAAGAAGAAAAGATCCTGATGTGCTCTTTAATCCAGCTGTGGAGCTCAGACGTCCTCCAGGTGAATCCAGAATAAATCCTTTTTAAAGAAACCCAGGAAATCCACTTCAGACTTGTGGAACTTTAAAGTATAGATGAGCTCAGGTGAGGACAGGACAGGACAGGTAAGGGACATGTGAGGCAAGGAGAGGAGGACAGGAGATGACAGGAGAGGAGAGGAAAGAGTGAGGACAGGTAAGAACAGAACAGGTGAGGACAGGTGATGGCAAGACATTTGAGGACAGGTGTGGAGTGCTGGTGAGGGCATGGGAGGACAAGACAAGTGACAACAGGACAGGTAAGGACAGGAGGACAGATGAGGAGAGGATAGGAGAACAGGTGAGGACAGGTGATGGCAAGACATGTGAGGGCAGGAGAGGCGGACAGATGAGGACAGGACAGGAGGACAGATGAGGACAGCTGAGGACAGGATAGGAGGACAGAGTGAGGACAGGTGAGGACAGGTGAGGACAAGATAGGAGGACAAATGAGGAGAGCTGAGGACAGGATAGGAGGACAGAGTGAGGACAGGATAGGAGGACAGATGAGGACAGATGAGGACAGATGAGGACAGATGAGGACAGGTGAGGACAGAGTGAGGACAGGTGAGAACAGTGAGGACAGGTGAGGAAGTAAAACTTTCTTTCGAGAGCGTAAATCTTTCTAATTAACAAATAAAACAGGATATAATTTCTGTGTAGGAAAGTCTAAATCGCACAATAAATAAAAGGATATTGGACCGTAAATCTTCCCCTCACAGATCGACTTTTCGGTCATAAGACGGTGAAATCTTCCCGACACAGTTCTTTAACCCCGCAGACACATCATGTCACTAAAACAACGTTATGAGGCTACGTGTGCGTTGAATGAATCTGAACACCAGCGTTCAAGGCAGAAACTCTTTTTTTTCTTTACAAACTGACATCAGCGTTTCCATGACGATCCAGGTGAGTTCATTGACATTTTTTCGTACAGGAGACTGAGGGAAAAAAAGATCCGGTAAAAAAAAAACAACAACAAATATTTACAGAGTCGGGACCGCTCGGTTTCCATGACAACCGATTTGCATTAAAGTCAGATCCACATGCAGAGGAACGTCCGACACACACACACACACACACACACACACATACGATCCATGCACGCACTCACACACACACACACAGACACTGAGCATGCTCAAAGGGCTCATCTTCTTCTATGAAAAAAAAAAAACGGCAACACAACAAACTCAACAAACAACAAAAGCAGCAGATTAAAGGAACAGTTCGTCATTTTGGGGGGAACATCTGTCACATAGAGGACCGACCCGGACTAACGTACCCGGGTCTATTAGTGACCTTTACACGGCTCGTTTAATTCTGTCATTCAGTCGCAAATTCAGAAATGTAAATGCTGAATTAAAAAGAGCGAATGTATAAAGAATATCAAATATCAAATCAAATACAGGAATTGCAAATTATTTTAAATAAAATAAAATAAATAAAAAAGTAAAAAATAAATAAATACAAAGAGAAATGAACGGACAGAAATAAGTAAAAATAAATATAAAGATATAAAACGTCCAATAAAAAAACTCATCAATAACATAAATAAGAACTTTTTAACTGTGTTGTCTTTGCAAGTTGTTTTTGTTTTGGCTTTAATGGATTCAAAATAGTCAAATTTAGATCATCGTCGTTTTAAATAAATTAGAAAGTAAGTTATCTGGAGCTGAGGTTGTCACAGTTTTGGATTCTTTTTGATGCCCCGTGTTTTAATCTTTCCACATTATGCTTTTCAGAGTGAACACTGTGTGACAGAGCCTCTCTGACGGACGTGGTTAAAGGTGGTTTAGATCTTTAGAAGCCATCAGAAGTGAGGCAGACTGAATTAAAAAAAATACTAACTCACAGGATAGAGGGCGACCCATAATTCTCATTTCACACCTGGTTTCTGTTCCTGTTTGGCCTCAGGAATGATTAGTAACCACCGTGGTTAGGCTAGCAGTTTCCCTCCACATCCAGTCTTTGTGCTAAGCTAGGCTAACGTCATCTGAAACAGTGTGAACTTTGTGCTTAAAGCTTCTCATGTAACTGATGGTTAACAGTGAAGCTCCAAAATGTCGCACGTTTCCTTTTAGCTGCGTACAGGAAAAAAAAGAAAAATCTACATGAGCATAAACTACCTTTACATTTGAAGACATCGAATTTGAAGACATATAGGATTGAAAAAAAGTCACCGATCGAATGATCAGTCATGTGCTACCGTATCCTGCTCTCAGGTGTTTGATGCTGGAATAAAAATCCTCTTTAAGAGACAAAAGAGTTTAAATCCACGTCGATGTTCGCTCAGTTTAAGAACCATCTGCTCTGACAGAGGTTTAAATGGCGCAAGCTAACCCGTCGCTTCCATCACGACTCTTTGTCCAAGCAACGCCCACTGAGTCTGATGTGCTGTGAGGTCGTTGACCCCCGATACCTGACCCTTTGTCGTCCCCCCGGGTGGGCCGTGTTTCCCTGTTTTTTTTAGAGTGCAGACACACGGACGATGTTAGCCTGGGAGTAGTTGGTCGAGCTGGCTGAGTTGTCCCCGCCGGGCGTGCTGCTGCTGGGCGGGGTCGGCATGCTGATGGAGGCGGTGGTGATGTAGGATCCGTCACAGTTCAGAAAATTGAAATTGGGAGGAGCCGTCTCCTCCATTTTAGCGTTGAGGCTGGAGCGACTTGAGCGACTAAAGAGAGAGAGAGAGAGAGAGAGAGGAAAGACTCAGCTTCGGTTCGCTCTAAAAAATCTGTGTAAGGAGTCAAGACGAAACATCTGATTCACAAAGACACACAAAGGGTTAAAGTCTTTCTATGTGATTTTTCACACTTAAATGTAGAAATCAAGTATCTCCTCCGAAAATAACTCAGAGTCCTATCTTCACTTTGTTTACATCGCCTGGACGGCCGGCTGACTCCTCCCCTCGTGAATAAAAGTTGTTTAATTGAGGGACTAGAGAAAAGAAGAATAACATACTGTACTCACTGCTTAACTGTGTTTCTAGATTTCAGGTAAATTTACATGCAGTGTGAAGATACCAGCATAATAAAGATCACTAGCATTAGCATGCTAACACAACAATGCAGCGCGAGTTGTTTTGGTTTCATGCTGGTGCTCAAGGGCGACATCTGCTGGATCAAAAAATCACATATAAAGCCTTTAAATGCCCCCCTTTCTATGTAAATAAACCTCATTGTAAAAAGCGTCTCATTCTAAAAACAGCATCTGCTGAGAGTTGGTGGTAACTGCGCCGCAGTATTTATAAGAGATGTGACGCTCAAACTTTCCAGAGATCAGGAAAACATCTCCACCTCTGGAGTGCTATTACTGATATGACCAGGGGTTAAATCATGTGAGGAGACGAGTCTGAAGCCGTTACCGTGACGATGATGTGAGTGTTGTTTAGACCTTGAGATGGAGCAGATAAAGGGAGCAGGTGATGGAACTATCAGCAGCTGAAATCCATTCTTAGTGAATCAAACTGATGCCAGCTGGGACAAAGGAACATGTCAGCCGCAGCGCCCTGATCCTACAGTATAAATCGAGCTTCACTCTGTATAGTTCGAGTGCATGTATTACTGAGATTAGACAGAAGCAGAGAGGTCAGAGTCTGATGGAGACGGTTGGTGCTTGTGGGAGTCGGACAGAAACAGGAGACGGTTTTGTTTCCCAGCTGTCCCGGTTCAGGAGAAAGTTCCCAGACCTCCCACCGCCTCCACAGCTGGACATTTTCTGGATTCCTGCTCTGTGACTGTACATGGGAATACTGTCACATGATCTCTGGGGCCGTGTGTTTATATACAGTATGTGAATGTGTGTGTGTGTGTGTGTGTGTGTGTGTGTGTATGTGTGTCTCCTCATTGCTGACTCCTCTCCTACTCTAAAAACTTCTTCTGCAGAAATATCTGAAGGTCAGAAACAAAGGTTTCTACAGAAAACATAAAGCCATCATATTTTTCCTTTGTACCAAAGCCCAGAAAGTTCCTGCTCTCTGATTGGTTGTCTGATTTCAGGTATAAAAACACCATGGGGACCGACCTGCGGAACACCACGTCCTTCTCAAAAACATCAGAAACCTGAAACCTTCACAAAGACCTCTGAAGTGTCCCCAAAGGTTTTTTTTTTTTCATTCTTCAACCACTCACTGAATCTGTCAGAACTGTTTCTACACCTGTGACCTTTAAAGGGACAGGACAGGTGTTTCCAGGTGAGCTTGTATGAGGTGCTTATTAACAGTCACAGTGTTATGATTGGCCAACCAAGTGGTCGACCCGAAATCCTAAACCATGATTTACCTCGTCAGAAGCGGGACTTCATGTCTAAGTAACTATTTGAGGGTTTCGATTATTGGATTATACAAGTTAAAGGGATACTTCACCCATTAGCATTAATCTTTGTATCATTAGAAACCTGGTAGTGTTTTTGAATGGTCGTGCATCCCGCCCTCATTTTCCCCTGAGATGGGAAATCTTTGTATTTCTGAGTCTGAAAAGGAGCTTCCAGTGACGCAAAAATCGTCATTTTGCGTCATCTGTTGTGGTTAGCGGGGTGAAACTACAACGCTAGTTCCTCATATTTTCGACCTCTGAAGCTACAGACCAATCACAGATCCCAGTGGGTGGGAACTCACTCCCAGAATCAAAACTTAACGTCCGCCATATTGCTTAGAAGCTATGCTAACAGGCTCTATGGAGAAAGCTGATAATGACGAAAAAATATAAATATACACAGAATTTCTGTGCTGGCCACCAGGGGCCGCCACTGGCCACAGCAGCCAAGAAGCAAAACCGGCCTATATTGCTATATTGCTGGACGCTGCCAGCTCAGTAGCTGCGATATAATGCCTGCCTGTCAGCGCCGGTGAGGACGAGGAGCCCGGGCCGGCTCGAGCTGGGGCTGGGGCTGTTTTCTGCAAGGAATTTCCAAGATACCAATTCCTTCTGGAAGAAATCTCTGAATCTGTTGAGGAAATAAATATGTGGGAGTGGCCTGCGGTGCTGTGCATTCTGAGCTAAAAAGACACTTTCAGCCTTTTCTCGGCCAAGAAGGCACCAACTTCAAAATGTATTTCACATTTCTACATATATGACCCAAAGTCAATACAGATTCATGTTTCAACGGGTGAAGTGTCCCTTTAAGAAGATGATCGTTGCTGTGTGGATGTTCTGTCCCGCCCCTGCTTCCTGTCGTACCTGTTGCTGAGCGGTCTCTCTCTGATCTGGATGGTGCTCAGCTCCTGGATGCTGCCCTGCAGACCCACAGACGTGTTGGAGTTCGGGACGTTGAAGCTCTTCCTCTTCCTGCGACTGCAGCAGGAGGTGAAGCCGTGCGGCGAGGAAGTCGAGGAGGCGGAGGACGAGCGAGACATCTGCTTCAGCTGAGTGACCTCCCGGAAGCTCGACTCGTACGTCTTCTCGTCCACAAACTCGTGATTCTGAGGCGGGAACGCGATGTCAGAGGAAAACACGTTTTGATGGGTGAGTTTATCGTGTGTGTGTGTGTGTGTGTGTGTGTGTGTGTGTGTGTGTGTGTGTGTGTGTGTGTGTGTGTGTGTGTGATCTCACCGTGGTCTTCTCCAAACAGTTCAGAAGGTGATGATGATGAACATCAAAGTTGGGGTTGGCCTGACACACCAGCGCCTGTCCTGCTTCCTTTGACGCCTTTAACACAAACACAGATCACATGACGACAGCGTGAGCCCCCATTGGACAAAACCTCTCGAACTCTCAAACACAACGCACAAAGAGGGGATGACCACGGCAGCACTACCCACAATCCCCTCCTGCTTGGGCTCAGTTAGCGGGAAAAAGGCAGATCAGGAAAAGAACTATCTCTAAATCAGAACATCTCATTTCAACACACTCAGGTCAAATCTGCTGAATGCATGCCGCATCTTTCTGTCCCCCAAATCTTGATTTAGAAAAAAAAGCGTTTGGTACTCTTACTACAGCGGGCCAGTGGGTGGCGCTGCATGAGATGACTTGTTGTGTGTGTGTGTGTGTCTGCAGAGCTGTGCAGTGTGAGGTCATGACTCCATGTTGTTTGTGTTTGTGTCTCTGTGGGGTAAACAGAACAGGACTGAGACAGTGTGCAGGAGCTGTTATCTGCTGGCGGTGTGTTCAGTGACCCCTCGGAGACATCAACATATAAAACAGATTGTTTACACCTGGTGTGTCTCAGCTGTCAGCGGAGGTGAGCGTTCACCTTCTGAGCTCGCCTCTTCTCGGATCTCTGGCTCTGGTG